CCTATAAACTATTTAATTTGTTTGTTATTGGTATTTTTTAAAACCTTATTGGATACCCTACAGAAACATAAAAAACAAAAATGCTTAATATCAATTGGTTAAAAAAAGATCTAGCTTGAAGCTGCAGGTTAACAACAGTGGAATGTATGTCCGAGTTCTTTATTGAGCCACTGTACATTCTTAGTGCAACTTGGACCTCTACAATCCGTCTTTCCACAGCTCAGACATCTAGTTTTGCTTTTGCATGACAATTCCGTGTGTCCTAGACGACCGTATTTGTTGCATTGTCTTAGAGGTGGTAAATGATGTATTTGGGGATTTCATCCCCCTGAAAGCCTATCTTGATTGTGGTCAGTGGCAGTATCTTTCCTGCTTGAAACTGCATCTTTTTTATGCTCTCTTTTTCAAAGCATAGGGGAATTCCCCTCACGGTTTTAGGTATAAAAGGACATAGGCTCTTTACCTTGGTCTTTGATTCGACTGCAAAACGTCGCCTTTGAAAAATGGCGGGTATTCCGCACATCGTTTTCCTTTTTTTTCTAGCTGTACATTTGTCACAGGTGTACAGGTACTGCCCCCTGCTGTGTCCAAACATAACATTACATTGCTGTCATCTGCGATGAGTTCATTAACTGGACCACTCCTATCTTCTTTCCTACTGGCCAGCCACCGCCGTACACGGCACATTTTTTTTTTTTCATTTTTTCACTGTCGGCAATTTTCGACCCGTACGGGATACCATAAAAGTTAACAAAGGAAAAAATTGCAATTTACACCACAGCCTTGTCAAAAGAAAATAAATTCGCTTTGGCGCTTTGTAACCGCTGAACCAATTTTCCATCGAGCTCCTCCTCAAATTTGAGGTTTTGCTTCTTGATGTTTTCCAACAAATGAAGGGACCTACAGTTTATATTAAGTCGCCTCGAAACGGCTGATTGTTTTTTTATGAGGAGCTTTATTCCATGTCAGAAATACACTCGGAGGGGTTGATATTCCCTGCCGAGGGGCGACCACAATTAGAAAATTTAGCTTAATATTTTTATTTGAATTAATTTTCTATAATCTTTGCATATTGGTCGCTCGGGGATTCGAGCCCGAGCCTTCTGAATGGCAGTACGCAATGCTAACCACTCAGCTGCCGCAGTCGCCACAGCTAAGTACTTCCAAAAAAAAAAATTAATTTGTGAAGCAACGATCAAAATTCCAGATGCAATAGGGTCCCAATAATCTATCCTCCCAGTTTGAAAATTTGATTTTGAGAAAAACGCGCTTAAAGTTTTCATTGTACTCATCGCACGCTCTGAGGAGCAACTCTCACGATAGCCGGTTCTATGCACCGGAGTTGACCCGGATTTTATCCGGCCAAGGGCTGTCAGCGTTTCGGCGACCTAACCCCGTTTAGGTCAACAGGTAACATTAGTCTAAGTTCGCCAACGGAGCAACACCTTGCAGCTGGGTTGCTCCAAATCATTCTTATTAAGGCTGGTGTCGAAACCAACCCTTGTCCGACGGACTATTTCTGCTGCGTGTGTTATAAAAGACTCCAGCATTCCTCCACCTCGGCTAGATGCAACCAGTGGAATGGCTGGAGTCACCTTAAGATCTGCTCAGGCCTTAAGACTTACAGGGAATGAACCACGAGTTATGTGGTCCCATGCTGCCAGCGTCCAATCAGGGTAATCAACAGGCCTCTACGGTCTCACGGAGCTCCCCGCAGAATGACTCCCACCAACCTCCACCCCCATCCCCACCCACAACCGGCTCCTCATCCTCCTCCCTTGCGAGGGCTACCCAGCAGCTCCTTGTCCTCACACAGTCTGTTCCGCGTGTCAGACCATAGTGCGTCGGAACGTGACCTCAGTCAGATGCTACTCTTGTTCTGGCTGGTGTCACTTTCGGACGTGCTCTGGCCTGCGCACCACCATTAGTGGAGCATCACTCCCTCACCACACGTATCACAACGTTCCCCTAGACAGACCCGATTCCTACATAGTCGACTACATGAGCCCCAGCACCTGTCAATTGCTGCGATCCAGGAAACTGAGTTGACCGTCCGATCAGATCTTCTGAGCCGCACAACACCGTGCAGTATCGTCTTATCGACGACGATATCGACCGCAGGAATACTACCCTAGAATGTCAGGGCATAGCTATCCGGTCAGGCGATGTCTAGCTCGAAATATTCAATATATACATTCCTCCAGGAGCAGTAGCAGGATACACCCCTTATATAGGTGCCCTACTCAGGTGCGAACCACGTTTGGTTTTGGGCGACTTTAACGCGCATCACGTTCTTTGGCCTGTCAAATGACCGTAGAGGAATGGAGCTGGCAGAACAGATAGATGATTCGACATTCTGCACAATGAACGACAATGCCCCCACCAGAATTATAGGTAATTGCCAAAGCTCGCCGAATATAACAATTGCGAATTGTGGTCTGATAAACAGTATAGTCTGGCGACCTATACTGACATTAGCATCGGACCACTTGCCCATACAAATCTCGATTGACAGACCTCCCGACTTTGTTTCCGGGGACCACCGGACATTTCTTAACTTCAAAAAAGCTAACTGGCCTGAACGCCTTTAGTGCTTGTCATGACTGCTGCCGTCCGCTTCATCCCGGCAGGCCGAATTGCGGAAATCCGCCAAAATTTTCCGACAGAAGCGGCACCCTCAGACGCTCCGATCTCGGGAATCCCCAATCAATTTAATTAAACGCGGAGATTCGAAGAGTAGTCAACAATCATAAGCAGAAAAAGTGGGAGGAACACCTAAGGACATGCAACCTCTTCTATGGGGCAACCAAGCTCTACGCAACAGTCAAGTCGCTGTCTAACCCGACGAGACGTCATGACCGGGTGGAAATTTCATTCCGTGATCGCGCCTCGTCGGACCCGAAGAGATGCGCGAGCTATTTTAGCCGACTTTTCACACTGCATCCCTCGGTAGACAAAGCGAAGCGACGTGTAACCTGACGTATGCGCAAACTGCCAAACACCAGCTTGATTTTTCCAGGGAAGAGGTTCAGGGGTCATCGGGAAGGCGAAAGCCTCCAAATCCATCGGCCTCGACGGAATAAGAATGCTGATGCTCAAACACCTAGGACCAGCGGGAGCTGGGTCCTCAATTAGTCTTTAACCACCCGACGTGTGGAAAATGGGCATGGTGGTCCCGCTACTCAAACCGGGGAAACCAGCCAACAAAAGAGAGTCCTATCGGCCGATAACTCTCCTCTGCTCAGTAGCGAAGGCCTTACTGCTCCCGACTTTCACTCACCATCTGCGTCCAGCAGCGCATCAGCATGGCTTCCGAAAAGTGCACAGCACCACAACAGCACTAAACGCCATAAACACCCAGATAGTCCCGGACCTTAACCAATACGTTCCTGCGAGCGAACTGTCTTGGTAGCACTGTATTTGTCAAAAGCTTTTAACACAGTGAATCACTCAGTGCTACTAACGGACATTGAGGAATCCTCATTACCGCCGGGGTTGCAGAGGTGGCTCATGCGCTACCTGAGTGGTAATATTCCGAGATGTAACATCAAAACCCAGAAAAATTAAACAGGGGGTTCCGCAGGGTGGTGTTCTCTCCCCGCTACTGTTTGATTTCTACATCTCGAAACTCCCTCTACCACCAGAAGGAGTTTCCCTAACCTCGTATGCCGATGATTGTACGATAATGACGTCTAGCCAGGATATTGACGACCTCTGCTCGAAAGTGAACGGCTACCTGGCTGATCTCTCCCACTTCTTCACTGCAAGACAGCTAAAAATGCAACCGACTAAATCCTCGACTACCAACTTCACCAGCTGGACGAAGGAGTACAGGTTGGAACTAGATGTGAAGGTCGATCGGTGCACGCACTGAGGGGCTGCAGCAAAATAAAACGTACAGCTTTTTGAAATATATTTCACTTTAAGACCAATGCTATGCAAATTTCTAGGACCCAAAGGCACCCTGGGAGCAGAAGAAAAATCGCGGGTCGTTCCGGTATAAAAACCCGGCTGTCGCGGGAACTATTGGATTTTAGTCGGCTCTTACGACGGGCATGCCTTACCGCGGGTAAATTCTTGAGTCCCTAACCCGCAGGGGTAAGCACAGACATATCTTCATAGTTCACTGACCTCAACTACATTAGTTTGATAAAGTTTATTATATATGTTGTACAACATTGCCTTACAAAATATAATTATTGTAAATATATAGAAACAATTGTCCGTAACCCAAATATTGTTTATTCTTTTACTATTGGGTAAGACAGTACATGCATTGAGCGCATGAAAATTCGTTTTACCGCGCAAATGAAGAATTCTTGTAATTCAAAGCTTTTAAATAATCGATGTACCTTCAGTTCAACCTTTTCATATTTCGCCTATGTTTGCATTTTCATAAATGCAAGTACAAAGTACCTGCGAAAAACAACCTAAAGCTATAGTCGAGTTGAGTTTCGCATTATTACTTCAACCAAATAGATCTAAGGAAATATGAAGAGAGTATATTAATAAACACATATACATACATACATACAAACATACATGCATTTATTTTCAGAAGTTTTATTTTTAATGATAACTCAGTATGGTTAATATGACGTTATTATTTATTTTTATGTACTCATTTCCTTCTTTGGATGTTTACAAACACAGCTCACTTCAATGATTGAACGTCATCGCTACTGAGTTTATAAAACAAGACTTCAAATTTCATAACAGTGATTAGGAAGAGGATTCTTGCTTAATTAAAATAATGTCACAGTGTGGGCTCGTACAAACATAACTTTATGTATGTATGTATATGCATGTATGTTATGTTCAACAATATTCACTTATGAAGTTCTACTGATTCAAGATCTGTTGTGTAGCAAGTACTAACAATATTAATAACCAAAAATAATATTTTTAGAAGCGATCGCGGTAGCCACATGGTAGCAGTTGTACAACAACAACGAAAATATTTTATTTTATTAATAATTTGTAAACGAAAGTCTACTCACCTGTATGCCAGATTCATGCATTTAAATAGTTTGGTGAGCGAGGTTTCTATTTCCAAGTGCGAAGTGACAGCTGATCCTATATGACCAGTTTCTTGTACATATGATATTTTTCTTGGCACAAATCGCTGCACCTCAGTACACGTGTTTACTAGATCCTCAGTTTTTGCAAGATTCGGATCTTCTGGATCAATCATTTTCACTTCGTCATCTTCTTCCAGGTCATCTTCTTGTGCCTCTTCAGCTTCAAAATGAGACACCATAAATTGACCTGAGTGTATGGACTCACGTTCTGATTTTGAAATATTAGAAGCATGGGTTCCATAGTCGCCGGTACTAGGATCTCCAGAAGCAGCGATGTCGGTCATGCCTGATGCTAAGACACCGCAACTTTGTTGTTGCTGTTGTAAACTCTGCTGATGCTGGTTTTGATGTTGTTGCAAATAATTCTGATATTTATTTAACATCATTGTATTTTCTTATCTACAGGCTGAACTCTCTTTGATTTGCGTTTTTACAATACATACATACATATGTTTATTAAGTATGCATCATATATGTATATGAACATATATTTTATATTTACACTTGTCCGCACTGCTCTCAAATTTTATTGTGGCTAGATCTCCAAAAGTAATCCTCATCCGTTCACTAAAGCGTCGATAAAATATATGTATGATATAAGAGCGCACAATAATCGCGATACGCCAAAAAATAAAAAAAATACTAGCAAATTGTTACATATAAGAAATGCTAAATTTCGCTGATAGATTTACTGATAATAACATCTACAACTTTAAGCAGTCTGGTCACAATTCATATCTATGTGCATATTGTCTCCACATTTAATTATATTAAAAGTTCATGACTTATTATGGTTTGATTTAAAATAAATGTCATATTTTATCAAAGATGAGCTAGCGTTCATAACTTATTAGAATGGTAAAGTATGTGATATGCTCTTTTACACTCTCTTGAATCTCTTAGGGAATCGTCTAATCACTCTCAATCCCACATATTGTAGCGCTACTTATATCTCTGTTTATTCAAAACTTGCCGTGTCAGTGTATGTGTTGTTCATATTGTAGAATAAATAATACTAACAATGTCGTACAGAAGTACTACTAGATAGGAGTAATTAAAATAAATGAAATGAGATAACGAACATTTACTTTATGCTGTCGCGCTTAACAGAAACACAAATTTGTGCGGGAAATATCCTAATTTTAATTAACAGCATATAGTACTTAAAAATTTAATTTTCGTTCCAAATATTCACTTTTTCCACTGCTATTAAAATGTGCATATACGAAATTAAATTCGGGCACAAAATTTTAAAGTAAGTTTCGACATATAACATGAGCATCTACACAGATGAACAGATGAACATATGTATACATTAACATACAATATATTTTACGTATCTCATCACATGTAAAAAACTAATATAATTTTGAAATGAGAGGAAAATTCCAGTAGTATAACTTTTCTGGCCTTGATTTGACTAATACATTAGTTTTATTTAATGATAGTTGAAAATTTTCTAGTATTTTTAAAAATATATGCTGCCAATAGACTAATGTGGGAACAAATGTTCACTCTAGATCTATAAGTTTGTAGCATTTTAAGTATTTTATCTTATTGACGTGCATAAGTTTGTATGTTTTTTCGAATCTTTTGCAATTTCATGCAATACTTATATATTATATACGAGTATACCAACAAAATAGATATAAATTTAATATGTTGTTGTTTCGCACTCATAAATAAGCTGCGATATCGTCAATTTTATTTTTCTTCAGTCTGATTCCAACGAACTGCGTCTATTTGATAACATTTTATCTGAGCATATCACTTGGTTCCAATAAGCCTGAATTTAATTACAAGCTCAAAAATTGTTGGTACTGTCCATCTCGCGTCAAATAACTATCGGTGGAACTTGACGGATCAGATGTTATGCTTTGTTAGATAGTACACGAATTGATAGTTCCTATTATCGAAATGTGATAGATTCAGCTTTCGATGGTGATGTGATAAGATTGGTCTCAAAATAATTAACTTGATCTTCTTTGTGTAGGCAACCCGATATTTCTTACGATTCTTTCACTTGATTAACGTTTGTTCTTCACTTGAAAAATACAACTATTATTATTATCAAAAATTGTCCGAGGTATACATATTGCTGTCACGGAATTCACCACAAACATCAAGCTGTCAATCACGAAATGTTGCCCAAAATACCCAAAACAAATGTCATATTGATAAATGATACTCTGTTATTCCTCAATATTTTGACTTCTTTAAAGTGGTGGCGGAATAGTTACGATCATATCCACACAAAGGATAACGAAGTGGCTCTGAGGGCTGTTTATGTTTCATGCAACGGTCCTGAGAGCAGTAACCGCATCAAGATCTGACAGCGTAATTAACGACCGGCCGACTGGTTATCTATTCTGCTTCGAGCTACAGTTATTGCAGCTGTAGTTGTACTTTCACAAGTAAATTATTAAAATCCTGACCAGAGTTAAATACTGAGCTTTAATCAATGAAACGCCCTCTAGTAAAACAGGTTATGTCAATATGTAAATATCAAACAAAAGCTAGGAGAGGAGACCACTCTGTGCAACCCTTGTTTAATCGTATGGAGTTGTAAATCTGACATCCAAATTTTACCCATGACTGTCGACCACTCAGGTAGCTTATAGTCAATCTCCTCAACGCAGGCCTTAATGAGGAATCCTCAATATCTGATAGTAGCTATGAATGGCAAGACTGGTTTTGGTAAAGGTCATTGACTATTGGATTGTTTATAACGTTAAGCCCACTCCATATGAGCATGATGTGTTGAAACCACTCTACCTATTCTCAACATATCGGGTATTATTGGGATCGTCAAAGATAGATTGAGATAATTGGCAGGTAATCGATGATTTACCTAAAGTGCTATTATCATTAATGTTTTTTTTATTGCATAATGAAGTAATTTACATATTAAAGCCGAAAGACTGTGAATTTATATATATCAATGTTTATAATAATTTATATAAATCATTGTGCAATTACTCAATTTCTTTCAATATGGCAGCCTTCATTATGAATTCGCCATATTGTTTTCTGTAATTGTATTGGATGAATGACCATGCCTTTTCAGTACATTCTCCTCAATGAAACCGAAAAAACGTAAAGAATTTTATACCGATTTTTCAGCATTTATATTGAGGTGAAAATGGATTTCTAGTTTGTTTGCGTAAGCACAAGCCCAGCACATTAGTGCACAAAAAGTTTTTAGCGAAAATGATTTTAAAACCAACGTAAGTAGAAGAATTATACTAATTTTTTAATCTTAATGAAGCTGACAGGTCATCGGTATGTTGTGAGATATGCATGCATTAACATACATATGTGCTTATCTACCAATATTTGCTTACATATGTGTTCGGCTGCACAATTTAAAATTGTGAGATTGATTGGAAAATATGTTGATTTTAAATACTAGTTTGGATGAATTGTAATCATTTTAATGTGTGTGGCTGATGTAATATTAAACTAAATTGTGAAATCGGAATTCATCCTCAATTTGTGCATTTCGGAATTCCATGCAAAAGGGTTGCCAACAGCATCGAAATATTTCAATAGGTAAACAAGTAGGAGAGTTGAGACAGCTAACTAAATATTCTTATACGCGAAAATTGACAAAAAATTCCAACGCTTCCAACTTACATAAATGTTTCACTTAAAAATACTGTGTGAGACGAAGCCAGAGTTTGTTCCGATCAGGGCCGCCAACTTACTAAAGGTTTTGCACTTCAAATATTGTGTGATAGAATGCCGGAGTTATGCTAGAAACACATGTGCAGTAGCACTGCGCAGTAAAATTTTGAACACTGGTTTTTGTGCATGCTACGCAGTACGCCGCATGATGCGTTCAAATTTTCACTGCGCAGTACCAATGCTGCCAATGCAAAAACTATAGTTTTACAGGCGCTGTACGGATAAAATCAAAGAAAATGTGTCAAATATGTCAAATTCTACAAGTGACATAAAAGAGTTATTGATGTATTGTTAGTTTTATTTAAAAAATGGAAGAACGTTTAATTAATTTTGTGAGGGAAAACAAGTTTTTATATGACAAAAGACACCACTCCTACAAAAACAACTGGCTTCGTGAAAAAAAATTTCGAGAGTGTGCAGCTGAATTGAATCTACCTCGTAAGTAATATGTAATTCATTTAAATTTACTTAACTGATATAACATTTGTTTTCAGCAAAAACATTAAAACAACGTTGGCGAACATTAAGGGATAAATATATGAGGGATAAGAAGGCGAGAATGAAGACATTTGGGTCGGTTGCCTCATCACAGAAGAAATGGAAGTACGAGGACAGCCTATCTTTTTTGGATGATGTAGGCAGCGCGAATTTAAAGTGCATACATTAGTGTTATTATACATTTCCTTGTGGCTAGTTATTCTAATTATTTCATTGAATATTGTAGCACATCTGGAAACTATGAAGATGAATCTACTTCCATTAGCTTCGAAGGAATCCATGAAAGGTATACAAATGCACATATATTACAATCAAAAGGCGAATGTTAAAATGTTTTATATTTTTTGTTAGTACTTCTGCAATTTGTGATGATGAACTAATGGACTCCAATAAAAACACTGCATCCATTAACGAGAAACGGAGCCCGGCAAGAACGAGGCTTAAAGAAAATTTGGCTTCTCGTCTAGAAGCAGCGGAAGTAGATTTCATAGATCTAACGGACCCATTAAGAACTGAATTAGAAGAGCCAAAACAACCAAAAACAACCACTCACATGTATTTTGATATGATGGCACAACAGGTGGAGGAGTTGAATTTATCTACCATTCAGTTTTCTATGTTGCAAGTTTATTTTCAAGTTGCATTGCAAGACTTTGTAACCAAAAACTTAAATAATAACGAAAACAATTAAATTAATTTGATTAAACTAGTTTTTATTCATTTAATTCTCCAACAAGTAATCTTTCAATGAGTCGCGAATTTTGAAAGCTATTCTGATTAAATTTGGAGAGCGTTAGCTGCTGATTTTTTTTTTTACTGAGGAAAAACCTCACCTTTCCATAAACCTTCTCCTATACCTCCGTCTTCTGCATATTGATCTATATAATTTTTTGGACAATATTGTTGCCTTAACGAGTTTCTCAGCATTCTTTGGCTGCATGTCCAATTTGTTATTTAAATTTATTAGTATGCAGCGTCTCCAATAAAATAATATAGCAGAATGGCATTACTGCTGTCTTACGAGGACATGTGGCATTCCAGTGTTTTCCTCGGATTTGATTGCTACACGCTTCCACTTCCCCTCGTTTAAAGGTGCTAAATAGATGCGGCTCAACTCATCCCAAATTGCAGCGCTTGTTTCGCATATAATTCTTGCTAGAGTTGAAACTCGTATTCGAAATGACCAAGCTAACATTGGTCGGCAAACTCCTTGTTTCAAATATCTGAAATAAATATATTTAGATTAAAAGGTATTTGCTTAATTTCTTTATGTAAAGAATTAATATTTATACCTTTACTTAAATGTTTTGTGAGTTTTGCTTTCAGCAAATTATTTAAAAATTTAAAAGTACAACTCGCTTTACTAAATTCAGTTTCCTTATCTGTTTTTATGTAAAAAAAGTTGTCTGAAAAATCGATGCAGTTCTCTCTCATTCTCCGTATATACTCGTTATTCCTTACAATTTTGCGCTTTATTTCCAGGATGATTTCTCCAAATCCTTCAATCATCAAAAATGCTATCACTGCCGAAGTAATTTTATTTTTAATAATCACAAATGTGTTTATACCAGTACAAAAATTAAATTGAATTGCTGGGTTTTTTGCACAGGTGTGATGACAGCTGATTCGTATATAGGTTGTGCTTATCTTCGAAAAAATCAAAATCAAGTCGGTTTCATAACAACATTTCAAGCAGGTATTGATAAATAAGCAATTCTGTGTCGGTTTCTATAACAATCCTGATTGTATATATGCTTACAGCCGTAAAACGTCTAGTAAACGTGCACTACTGCGTGCAGCGTGCACATGTGTTTCAGCCATTAGTCCGGCCTAAGGGATTATTTAAATTCAAAAGCTTAGAAGATGTAATCCCTCATATGTGTGTTTTAAATGATGTAGAATTTAAGAAGCTCCAACTTAATTAGAACATACATATATTATGCATACTTACAACCATTTAATACTAATGTTTTTATTTCTTCATTATAATATATAGAGCCATCATGGCTTCTCCCACATCAATAAAAGCGCCTTTTGGACAGGATTCCACCATATCACAACTTTTTAAATCATCATATTCTACAACAAGTCAAGAATATGAAAACTATTTCGAAAATGACATCGAGCACAGACAATTCGACAATGGCATCGTTGGCTTTACCGCCAGAGCTATACTGGGACTGCAAGCCGGAACCGGTGTCGCCGATGTCAGCCGAGTTATTTACCATGACTGAACCAGCTGGTTTTTGGCTAAATGATGACAATATAGAAAGCGGTATATTAAATTCAGTATTTGTACTTACATTAATAGGTGAAAATCATTTTTTTTGTTTTATTAGAGATTGTAATGGTCACTGATGAAGATTTTGAATTGAAACCCGGAATGGAGCTTCTCAACGGGGATAACTTAGTATTGGAGTTTTGCGATCTTAAAGAAGGTAAGCAATTACATAAATATTTTAAATTATTTTTGAAAAAAAAAATTGTATGCAACTTTTTTTCATGCAGTTATAAATTTTATATATATACCTACATACACAAAATGCGGAGTGTATTTGGTATTGTTTGTGTTGCTTTTGTTCTTAAAAAAAGTTTTCTTTGGATTGTTGTTAATTTCTTATAAGAACAATATTAAATCATTTGTAAATGATAACTGATTTAAGGGGTTACATCTAGTTAGGAGACCTAAAAAAAGAGGTTTTTCAAACATTTTTCACGAGGAAACTTTTAGCTTTATTATTTTGAGCATTTGAACACATATTATGGCATCTTTGAAGAGTAGTTAGAAATTTTGTATTTATAAAAATAATTGTTTTTGAAGCTGCTACAGCAGATCTCCAGGGACCCCTCCCAAAACACTGTATTTCTGAAGTGAATCATCTGAAATGAAAAAATCGAACGGATTTCGTTAAAGTAATGTATAATCTTGTGATTAATCGATGGAATAAGCCAAAAATTTTTATTTGACAAAATGACGGCTTTAAAAAAAAAATTCAATTTTTCTCCATAATTTTGGTTTTGAATTGCGGATTAAAAAAAAAACTTTCCATCAGTAATGGTAAAGCTTCGATTAAGTACTAGAAAATATTGTTCAAAAGCCTGAGTAAAAATTTGAGACTAATCGGTTTAGCCGTTCCCGAGAAATCTCGGTCACCGACTTGAAAAACATAGTTTTGAGAAAAACGAGGTTAAAGTTTCAAAAGCGCTTTCAAATGCTCTGACGCGTCGTTACAGATATGCCTGTAACTTCCAAAATAACAGTCTGATCGACTTGTAATTTTCAGAGTATTTACTTGAAGACATGTACATTACGAAAATGAAATAAAAAAAATCGAAAACCGAAAATAGAGAGTGAAATGTATGAGAAAAAGGTGTACACTCTTTTATGACACTTGATTGTAGGTGCAGAATACAGACCGTTAATGAAACAAAATGATTTATTGGTCGCAGTCCGTTCTGATTTCGGGATTTTAATGAAATTATAAAACGCTGCTATATCTATAAATATTGTACACCCAAATATAAAAATTTGGTGTCGTTGGAAAGATAATGAAATTCTTTTTTTTGATCTCCATATCTCAGACTTTCATAAGATAAATTTTGAAAAAAAAAACTAGTAACAAAAATGAAAGTTTTTTGTAGAAACAAATTTTGTTTTTCTTACAAATTTATGCAATGAATCATACATAAAACAATATTAATTAATAATAACATAAAAATACCATTAATTTGGTATAATCACACTTACTTACAGGCCTATTCTGTCGAGGCAACGAAATTTACTCTGGTATTAAAATTTACCATTCAGTAAATTTTGTTACCATTTCGTATTCTGAGCTCACTGTTACCCTGAAAATTTTGTTACCAGCGAAATAGGTTGTAACAAAAACCTCTGTTGTTTGATTTTGTGTTGTTAGCTTAAGAAAAAATAAAAACCAAAATAGATAGGCATATTTTAGGCCTGGAATTCATTGAAGATGAAGAAAAAAGAGGATAAAAGCGCATGCTAAGAATCTTGCGAGCAACAAATGACCCTTTTAATTTGGAAGATAGCGTTTTCATTCAGTTTTTTTTTAAACACATAAATAAAACTTTTTAATTTTTTTGAGCACCGTCTTCCGTTTAGATGTGAATATTATTCTTTTTTACTATAGCAACTGGCAAATGTAATTTGACAAGGACGAAGAAAGCAGTGCTGCCTAAGTTTTTTCAAACATTGTAACCAGTTCGCCAGAATACCAAATTCAATTTGATGTGCTAAAAAAAAAGTAAAAAAAAATTCACTTTATCGGTAATAGTGAGAATATGCCTGTTAGTCACTTTTCCAAAACGCGAAAGTTTTTGTTTCATTTGCGCTGTTAACGAGCATTAACCATATTCAAACTCGTAAATCTATTTTAAACAAAGGACTTTGCGGTGTCGTTTCAGTCTTGGATTATTTTTTCGCAAAAGTGTTTCACTTAAGAATACTGTGCAAGGCAAAGTCAAATCGGTGTTGGTTCGGCTCAGGGTTATTTTTTTAAGCGCGGACGAAGACTGCCAATTCTGCCAGCAGGTTAAACTCCTACCTATCCAGACTAGACCCCAGCATGCCCAACGTATGCCCTGCATGTGGAGAGTCTCCGCACGACACTAATCACCTCTTCACATGCCCCCTCAATCCCACTCATCTAACCCCCCTCTCCCTTTGGTCCAACCCCGTCGAAACAGCTCGTTTCCTGGACCTACCACTAGATGACCCCGGCGACTTAGACTGATCAAACCTGTGCCTAAGCGGGGTTAGCGAACCACTACAACAACAACAACAACACTGCCAATTCTCAAAGGGTTTTCACTTAAGAGTACTGTTATTTTCGCATTTACAGCTATTAAGAAAATTTTAGTGATTGCAACTTTCCACGAATGTACTACTATTTAATAAAATTAAAAAAAAAAAAAGCGTGAAACAGAGCATTTGTGCGTTTGCTGAAGCCGCTGAATTTTTCATGATTTTGGAAAAATTATTACAATTATTAAATTGTATTTTGTTTTCATGCTCTTACTTTTATAAAATCGCCTTGATATCTGACTACCAAAATAAAAAAGTAGACTATCAATAGTTATTTTGAATTGATCGGAGTAATTTCTTTAATTATTTTAATTATGATTTTTTTTTTGCAAAAAAATAATTAATTAAAAATATTTTTTATTAATAAAATTAAAAAGATTAATTGATTAATTGATTAATTGCAAACTGCTTTTTTTATGTGTCTTTAAGTTTTGATCAAAAGCTTTTAACTTTGTATTAAATGAATTAAATAATTCTAAAATTTTTTAACATTCATGCTTATATATAATTCATAACTGATTCTAACAACAATAGTATATTTACGTTAATCTTAAAAGAAAGTTAATATAATAAATGGGGCTTATATAATATATGTTCGGCCGAGCTTTTCAGTTTATGGTAGGCCTCTTGATGTTTTGCAACAAATGGAGCGTCCTACTGTTTATTCTGAGTCGCCTCCTAATGGACGATGAATGTTTATGAGAAGCTCTTATTTCATGTTTTAACTTATTTTTTTTTATATAAATTAATTTTCTATAATTTTTGGATTTTAGTTGTGCCAGGGTTTCAACCCTGCTCTTCCGAGTTGGAAGTACGCAGTGCTTACCACTCGGCCATCGCGGCCGCCAAGTCGCCAGCAAGTCATAACTTCATCAATTTTAAACAAAATTTATTTCGTTTGTTAAAACATATTTCTTGAGTTTATATGTATGTATATTTATATGTGCATACAGTGTAAACAGTACGAAGTATTATATTTTAATTTGAATTTATATAGCAATTAAGCAATTTAATTAGGTTTTTGTATGAATAGTAAGCTAACGTACTGCGATGAAACAAAGTATTGGCACAGCAAGATAGTTCAACTTGAATACTTTTTTTTTTTTTGACCACTTATGGAACAATTTTTTTTTTAAAAAAAAAAAAAAAAAAAAAATGCTAGACAGAGGGATAAACTTTCAACTATTTTCACTTCAATTCAATTGATTATCTTTTATGTTAAGAGCATTGCATTAAGTTTTATGTTTTTTTTCTTAGGAAATAGCATGATTTGAATGAAAAAGAATGTAAGACCTTCACTTTACTTTGACAAATTAAAAATTTCATTCTTTTACGGACAAATCACCAACACAAAAACATAGTTTTGAAGATGTTCAGTTTTAGAAATATAATAATATATAGCATATAGTTAAATTCGTCGTGGCTTAAATTAATTAAAACTTTATTAGAAATTCGAAGAGAAAGTCGCTCCAATGTTGAGACAAAGTATTCATATTTGTAATGAAAAATCTATATTTTTTTTATCAATAACTGAACACGATGTTCATATGAGAGAAATGCTAAATTAAATCGAGTTCGCAACGTCTCATTGGTGCTTGTTTGACCAGTTTGTAAGCAGCGGCACAGGTTTGATTGGGTTTAAGTTTTTTTTTTTATTATTTTTTTTCATTTATTCTGTAGTGATTACTATACATTGTCTGGCTATTATAGCATTGTTAAAGGGTTATATATAATATATTGGTTATTTTAGATTAATTTTCTAATAATTTAAATCTGTATTTATTAATTACGTTAATTTTTCTTTAGTTTTCTGATAATTATAATATTATTATATTTTCGCCAACGATTTTTTTTTTTTTTTTTGTTTAATGCATGTGCGATTAATCTAATTAATAACAATTGTGCTGCATAGAATCTCCACAGGAGAACTATGCAACGAATCATATCCTTTTATTGCAAAACCAAATTGCATTTTTTTTTTTTACATTTCATGCACACGAAAGGTATATTCACTTTGGTCCAAAGTATACCCATCAACATTTATAGTTATCGGGTTAGAAGTACGAGTTGCATGTATAATATTTAGTCCTAAAATGAAATAAGGTAAATTGGATAAGGACCATATTAAATCCTGTTCCAAATTTGACGTGATTTTCGCGGTGTAGCTATCAAACTGATCGTACTACCTCCGGTTGGAACGATAAGTGAATCTATATTTAGAACCAATATTCTACTAATTCAACTTGATTCGTTAAAGAAGCTCGGAGAAAAAAGTCCGTTATATGGAATATAAAAATGTTCGTTGTCCGTTGGCGACTTATTGAGAAATATTTTACCACATTTAATGTAGTTACATAATTTTTTTATAGAATTATATCCATATATGTTTAGAATTTTCATAGTTAGAAAAGTGATTTTCTTCCGATTTCAACTTTTATTTATTCTGTTGAACTTTTAGTGTTGTTAGTTTGAACCTGGGTCGATATAATTGATTTATATAATCTGTAAGTTGTTGTTGTTGTTGTTGTAACCGCAAAATTATTCCCCAAAGTACTTTTTGGGGAATATTGCGGGAGTGACAGTCCTTGGCCGGATAAAAATCCGGGCCGT